ATCATCTATATTGTACAAATAATAATTTAATGGCAATGGCAATAACTGAAAATGATAATAACTTAATATTGTACCAACACCGAATGTCAAACTTACATTTTTCCCAGCCTCGGCGTTAGGAGCATGCCTTATAGCGCTTTCATCAATTCCGTTTGTTTCACTTGTTGTCCCGTTTGTCTTAGGCATACCATTATTTTTGAAAGTCTGCAATTGATGAACCAACTTTTTACCCAGTTCAGCTTGTTTTATTATTGTACCCTCCTGTTCATCTATAGGATCCGAATCTCCCAAGGATTGGCTGATGCGAGATAGATCCTCTTGCATAGTCAATATTTGCGACGATAATGCCCTATGATTAGGTGTATTTATTGAAGCTTCGTCCTTAATAAATCAATTATGATAAGTGTGTTTCTTGAACAGGAAAAAGAACAATCATATAAACAGATGATCGATTACCTTCTTTTTTTCTACTTCTTCATTGAGCTCCTGTATTTCATACTGCAATCTTCTCAATTTTTGCAAAGGAGTTTCTTGCAATGCAGGATCCCTTGGAAGGATTTCATATTCTAAAGGTCGTTTCACATATTGCTTATACAATTGTTTTTTGTGTAGAATGGCCCTTTCGGCATCTATTAATCAAATTGGAGAAATTACTGTTGTAGAGGCAACAAAACTTAATACAAGCAGATATATCAAACAGCGAATTGCACGCACCTGTTTCTGCAGCCTCCCCGGTGCTGTCTTTAAATTTATCAACAGCTTCGCCGACGGTAATTTTATCATTGACAATATCTTCGTTCTGTTCCTCGATACTGGGGAACTAAGGTTAAAAAAAAAAAAAAAGGAATTGTTTGGGCAATGCAAATACAAAACGCATAGATAGAGGCCTATCTTTTTAATTACAAGCAACTGATATGTGGAAACACTTACACCGTCGTCAGAAACTTCGGCGTCTTCGACAGTGTCGGGTGTCTCGTATACGTCAGGTTGAGTGTCCTGTTTTCAGGATTGATAATTAAGCCATAATGTACGTATTCTTAAACTTCGGAGGTATATAACTCTATATTGAGCCGTAAAGTAACTTACAATATCGGGGAGCGCACTGTATTTACTAGACATTTTCGAAATGATGAAAAGGATGGCTAAAGATTGTGAATTATTTGGTTAATGTATGTTTCCAGAGGCTTAAACGAGGTGTAAAGAAGAAATAAAAAGACCAAGGATATTTGAATTCCAAGCACATACATAAAGGATCCCAATGTTTTACGAAATTATATTCAGTTAAAATACAATCTTTAAAGTAACATAAAGTCCAAAAAACGCACCTGCAAGCTTGTAAATCCTTGCAAATGTAGTTTTTTTTGTACAACTCACTATTGTTATTCTGGTTTGACATATACCATGTTATTTAATTGGATGATTAGATCTGCTCGTGAAAATTGATAATCTAATGCACAAAAATTCTCTTCATGAAATTAACGTTAACGTTAATAATTTTTATCTGAAACGAAGACAATTTTTCGTCAAATTTCTCACCATAATGTCTGGAAAACTTCCGCAGGTGAAAAAAATCTTCCATCAGCTTTTTCAATTAACCACAATATTTATTATGAGTTTTTCTTCATTCATAGAAAAAATTTTTTCGACAACGAGCACACTCAAATCCTTTCTCAGATCATCATCTTGAGTAGCAAGTAACAATTTCTGCCTTTGTTTATTAAAAGAGTGGAATCACACATTAAAAGTTCACAATTAATTAGTCCGAAAAGTCCTGCTGAAATGGATTGGTCCGCTCATTATCCAGCATTCGTCTGTGAAGAGAATCCTACTGAATCATCTTTTGACATGCCCACCAAACAAGTGGGTCGACCACTAATGAAAAAAAAAATAGAGTTCGCTGATCTGGGCTGTGGTTACGGTGGTTTACTTTTCTCACTCTCAACATTATACCCAGAGACACTAATGCTAGGTAAGTCCTGATATTTAAGCATTTATTTGCAAATAACTGATCTCAACATTGCAATTTTTAGGTATGGAAATCCGTGTAAAAGTTGAAGAGTATGTACGTGAAAAAATTATCGCGTTAAGGTTACAACATCCAGGACAATATCAGAATATATCTATAATAAGAATGAATGTCATGAAATTTTTGCCAAATTTCTTTGAAAAAGGGCAGGTAGATGAGGCATTTACTCATATATATTCGATAATGTATGTATAAATCAGAACATAATTTAATTAATACGTAATCAAATTTGCAAAAGTTATCGAAAATGTTCTTTTTATTTCCGGATCCACATTTCAAGGCCCGAAAACATAAAGCCAGAGTTATAACGTAAGTATATAGATCAATGATCGATAAGACTGAGGCTTCCAGATCATCGAATTGGTCAAACATTTCGAATTAGCCAATAATTGGTTCAACCTGATTTGGATTAGTCCTAAATTGAATTGGATCATATCTGAATTGAATCAGGTTTAAATTGGTTCAAAAGAGTTCGAACCGGATTAGAATTATCGAATTGAATCGATCTATAACTTAAACTCATATATGATGGTCCCCAAATTCTAGGTCTGTTTGGCTGACATTAATAAACTTTACAGTCATTTAAAATTTATTGAGTAAAAACCCGACTGTTAGGCACAAATTATTATATGATAATTTGTTATGAATGCAGTCAACTATTATTTTGTTAATATGCAGACCAGAAATTTAGGGATCTTGTATAATTTTGTAATTCGGATTCAACTGTTCGAATCAAACCTTAGTTAAGGCCATTAAACAATGCAAGTATTAATTATCAAATATATTCGATAGTAACCAACTATTAGCGGAATATGCATATGTTTTGCGTGTTGGTGGTATAATTTACACCATATCAGATGTAAAAGATTTACATGAATGGATGGTTAAACATTTAGACGAACATCCACTTTTTGAACGAATACCGGATGAAGAAGTGGTAAGAAACTTTTAATATAATGTGCAGTTAAAATTCGATCCTTAATTCGATCTCTATGATCATCATAATATAGGAGAAAGATCCAGTCATTCCAATTGTCAGAACTGAGACGGAAGAAGGCAAAAAAGTCGAGCGCAATAAAGGCGAAAAGTTCTTATCTTGCTATAGACGTATTACAAATTAATAACCTGTTGTTTAGAATTACCTAAAATTCGTCATGACTGACCGATAGACACATCGAATAGAAGCTTCAGATAGAATAAATTATGTCAGGTAAATTGTATTTATCGAATTCTAACTTTCTATTTGCATATTCAATTAAAATAATTTATCTAAAAATTTTATATTAGTTGTTATACCAAAGGCAGTAAATTTTTTTATTTTAAATTTATATTTTAATTAAATTATTGAATTTTAATTAGCAAAATTTAAAATTCAAAATCTATTAGTAAAAAATTTAAAAGTAGCTTGCAATAATATTACAATATATGAATGTCGTCGCCAAAGGAAAACATACATGTTGAAATATAGCCTATATATAAATGTATGTTTTCCTTGGCGACACTCATATATAAATGATAAAGTATATTAGATAAATAGTCATCAATCGTGTCTATAGATGCTGGTGAAACTGGTGGCTATCTAAAATCTGATCGGCTGTTCATCAGTTTCACCACCATTCACCAAGAGTTTCACCCAGTTTCACCAGCATCTATAACCGTGTCGTAGATGATAACTTATTATTCATCTACTAACTAGCTAGTTTTTTTTTCTTGTACTCACGGGAACTGAAGTTATGGATTTATATAAATTGTAAATCAATGTAGAAGTAATCTTTTACGTTAGAATTAGAGTGAATCGTTAGAAAGAGCATTATATAAAAATTTTACAAGGAAGTTTTTTTGTTAGAACGTGAGGTGATTTTGTAAAATTTTGAATTATTGGCGACTTTTTGAATAAATTTGGTAGTTTTGTTTTCAAGTTATATTTGATTCTGTAGATTATCTTTTTTTATAACATGTATCGATAATATGTTGATTTAGCAAGCAATTTGGGTTTTTATTGGCGAGTAATTAAAATACATGAATCTAAACATCTTATCATATTAGATTGCATGGATATGAGAACGTAACAAGATTCTAGTTTTAGCACGCTGGGATATCCGTGAATATTTAAACCATTAACTTAAATTAGTATAAATTAGAAGATATTAATAAAAAATGAATGAATTATTTCAATACTTCGATTAATAAACGATCGCTATACTTACCAGTGGGGATGTTAATTGGTCCTGCAGTAATTATCAGTCGACTTTGACCAATTTTTTACAAATCTTGCTCAAAGTTGGTTGATAATTACTGCGAGACCGATTAATAAGTGAACAGACTATTTTAAATAATTCGATTAACAAATGATCTTTATACTTACCAGTTAAATTAACTTGAAGACTAACTCAATGACTAAGTCAGCAAAGAAATTAATGTGAGGAGAACAATTATCTCTAATATTTCGATTACAGTAATACTTCTATAAGTGTACGCACTTGGAACCAAACTTTAACAACAAGAGAGGGTGTGCACTTAGGTGTACACTTATATAGAGGGTGCACTTATAAAGGTTTTACTATAATAAATAATCATTATACTTACGAACTAAATCAACTTGGATAAGAAGTGACTCGAATCAGCATAAAGAAATTAAGAGAAACAACTTTTTTGATTAATAAATAATTATTTATCTTTTTTTTACTTTGGTGATTCTTTTTTTTTTTTTTTAACAATGGAATTTATATATTTGTTTTCTCGTTATAATGTTATGCAAAAGAAGTTTTTTTTAGTTAAGCTAGTTTATTTGGCTTATATTTAATTAAATATATTTTCAGTATTACCAGTGTTTTTAAAAGATTCTAAACATAGTATATTTTGATAAAAATATATATAGATATATATACAACTTTGATTATTGTTTTTTTTTTTTTTTTTTTTTTTTTTTTTTTTAACGTTTACCCTCTTGGGAGCTAAGATTTTTATTCAGATATATATAGTGAAGGGTTCTCTAGAGAACCCCTATATTAGAGAATACATATTAGCCACACGTACACTTTTGGTGTCTAATTTAAGTAGTCTGTCTGTACATTATACAGGTTTCACACTAGATGCCATACCTGTAACCCAACTATGGGTGTTACCCATTTAACCTCTCTGTAATGTAACTAAACCTGCATTACCGGGACATTCAAAAAGTTCTGGATGCTTTATCCATTTCCTTAGGACTACTTTATCCTCAAGGGATCAATACTAGAGCGGTCCGAACCCACAATTCGGATTCACCTAGATTCAGTAACTTACACCAAGTCTGAAAACAAGTACTTGCGAGCTGAGGCTGCTACTGTTACCTACTACCCTTTGTAGAGTTTATCCAAACCCTGGTATCTACTTTACAGACTATCAACTGTATCTTCAACTATTTCAAACTACCAATTCAGATGGTCTGAAAGAGATTTTTTCCTGGTATCTGCAACTAAGCAGGTCCTTTTTCTCCAGTTCTGATGGACTCGGTTCCAGTGGTCTCGTTAGTGGAGTGCCTTGCTATACACTGGTTCTGTTCGGTTTTTGCTGGTTCTCTGGTAATAATCTTTTACATAATACCATTAAAGATCTGTATTACCTCTTTACTCAGGTTTTGCCAAGTGAGCATCTATCTTTCCGGTTCTTTGGATTAATACAATCTGAGAACATATTTGTATAACTCATATATTGCACAAATGCCCCATGATCACCCAATCTTGTTGGTGCCACCAAGATTACAGAGATCCCGTTCTAACCGATTATCGAAAATATTAACTATCGTACAAGTAGAATATTCAAAATTCATCATTAGTGGGTTTTGAACCCTCTACCTGGCCTACTGGATAGCTATCGGGACATCAATATGAGCTGTTAGGTTCCCGAATATAATATGATAGTTTACCAGTATCCGTATTCTATAGGTTCCTGATTTGACTCCTATATTTATCTGAACTTTGGCTAATATAGGGCACCTATCAGTAATAGATAGAACAAAATTAATATGCCTATCAGTATTTTTGATATTGCTTTTGATAAACTGATAGATCAATCCATTTAAGACTAGCCGGTAAATTATCATATACTTATTAGCTTTTTTTTTAAGACTTACTGATATTTCGATAGGGCTATTAACTTATTTATTTTTATATTATTTATATTATACAACTAGCGATATACAGTTAACTCTCTTTAAACTGAACCTCTTTAAACTAAATACTTAATAAATTCTCTGAGAACTGAACGAAAAGCTCTAGAACATTTATAAATTTTATTATAAAGTTCGAATTAGCAATATATAACTCTTTGAGAACTGAACTTTTAAAAATTTTTATATATAAAATTCCTTAAGTATATTTTTTTGCAGAATAAACAGAGTTGACTATATATTTTATTAAACATCATACTAAAAATATTTAAAGCAATGGATAACGAAATTTGTTTATTTGTATAGTATTATTTAGCTATGCTTAATGCAATAATATATATGAAAATAGAATTATCTAGCTTGCGAATGTAATATATTATACTAATAAAATTGCGTTATTGCTAATCTGAAATACCTTATATCAATGAGTTTCATTTTCATCGCTAGAAATTGTGACGCTTTCTTCAGCTCTTTTATTTGATGTATTATTATCTTTGGTAGTTCTACTGCTACTTGTAGCAGCGTTATCGTCTGCTTCTAATTCGTCCATATAATTTTCTTCTTCTTTTTTTTCGTTATCTTCTTCTTCATCCTTTTTTCAAAAATGTAAGAAGCTGAAATGGTCTAGGAGTGATCTTTGTGAGTATTTGGCAGTGGTTTAGATTTATCGAACCATCTTTCATCATTATACCACTGTTTTCTGATACATTTCATATTCTGAATCTTTTCACCGACTTGATCAGCTAGCTACAAAATTTTTTAACCTGGTTTATACAGAATAAGGAATTGAAATTAATATAATCTACAATTACAATAATTATAATTATAACAATTATTTACCCTCCTGGATCTTCACAGCTTATCGTAAACACAAAGCACATGATAGTCATTTTTTCTTTTAGATTTAGGATGAATTTTTAATCGATATTCCGATTGTGCTCGTTCATTATCGGTTTCAGATCTTTTATCTGAATGGTAGTCTTTATCATTTGTTATATCCTCTATCTCATCTGTAAAATCTTTTCAACTCATAATAGGGCAAGGTCCTTAAAATTTCTATCCTTCATACTAAGTAGATAACCGATGTCATAGAGTCTTCTTCTTTTTTTCTATAGTTTAATAGATTATTTGTTAGTAATATCAGTTGGTCAGTATTTTATTAAAAAACAATATGATTAGCCTATTCTATTACTTATTATAAAACTATAGAAAACTTGCAAGTTATATAAAATAGATTATATTTGTATTGTCATACTTATAGTAATTGCTAGTGAAATATTAGTAAAATACCAATATAATACATTTTATATAATGTGCAAGTTTTCTATAGTTGTATAAAAGCAACTGAATAAGCTACACTTACTTCTTGACACCTTCTGTTTGTTCTTTTTCATTTTTTATCAGAAGCTGATTTAATAGGGTCTGAATCGATCGTCTATTTTTCTCGTCAATGTCAGTGAAGGGTTTGAAGAACATACTTTAATTCATTCAAGTTATACCTAAAATTGCTTTCTAAAGCTTTTCCGATTGCAGGCATAATCTTTTTGTACATGTCATAAGATATTTGGTTCTATTTTTTGATATAATCCAAATGCAAAGTATCATCAAGGCTATCTAATATTTGAATAACTTCATCCTAAGTATTAAATAAATATTTATTAATCTGATAGCTCTATCATTACTTAAATATATGTACCGTCAAGTAAAAAAACTAGAAAGTTTAATATAAATAAATATTCATAATAATGTACATAAAACAGTTTATATTGTTCTTTGTTTATGTCTTTCAAAATAATATGTGGCCTTCTTTGATAGCTGGTAGGTGGTTCAGAAGAAACTGATAGTTTTTGTCACTTATTATTATC